GCACTTTTTAAAGTCTTCCATATGTGAGATCTTGCAATATATATTTTTCTTCTGTATCTGTCATATATCACTTAGCATAATGTCTTCTAGGTTCAACCCTGTTGTGGCAAATGAAAGGATCTTCTTTTTTAAGGCTGAATATTATTTCATTACACAAAAGAGTTAAATGTAAGAGATTTGGAGAACATCATACTTAGTGATCTATCACAGAAACAAAGAACTCATATGCTCTCACTCATAAGTGGAAACTGAACGTTAATCACATTAGCATAAGAGAGGGATTGGCAGTTACTGGGCACTTCCGGGGGATGGTGGGGACACATAACAACACAAAGTGTACCTGGTCACAACCAGGAGAAGTGAGGACCAGTTGGAGGTCTAAACTTCACCTTCATGCAGCCTACTTGTGTAGTGAATCCTTACCTGTATCCTACATCTCTATAACAAAAATAAATTAAAATTAAAAAGATCTGAAACAATAAAACTCCTTGGAAAGAACATAGGGGAGAAGATACCTGACATTACCTTGACAGTGGTTTTATGGAAATCACATGAAAAGCTCAGGCTACAAAAACAATAATAAACAAATGGGACGACATTAAACTCAAAACCTTCTACGCAGCAAAGGAAATAATCAACAAAATGAAAAGGCAATCCATGGGCTGGGAAAAATAATTGCAAACCACATATCTGATGAGGGGTTAATATCCAAAATTCATAAAGAACTCTTCCAACTCGATAGCAGAAAAACAAATAATTCAATTAAAAAATGGGTAAAGGACACCCAAATAGACACTTTGGCAAAGAAGATATAAAAATGACCAGTAAGTATACAAAAATGTGCTCAACATCACTAGTCATAAGGAAAATGCAAATCCAATTTCCCCACAATGTATCACTTCTCATCCATAAGGATGGCTATTATAAAAAAGACCAGAGATAAATGTTGATGAGGGTATGGAGAAAATGGAACCCGAGCACACTGTTGGTGGGAATTCAAATAGGCACAGCCATCATAGAAAACACTGTGGAGGTTTGTTTTAGAACCTCCAAAGAAATTAAAAACAGATCTACCATATGTCCCAACAACCCTTTTTTTGTATCTATACCCAAAGGAGATAAAATCACCACCTCATAAAGACATCTGCACTCCTATGTTCCTTGCAGCTCTATTCACAGTAGCCAAAACATGGAAACAACATAAATACCTATTGATGGGCAAATGAATAAAGCAGTGAGTCTTCTGTGGCAAAATTTTAGGCAATAGTTCAGAAAACTTTTGAAGTGATCCTGGTGCAGGGCTGCCTTCATTACCTGACATGATGCTTGTATATTTGGGTTATCTGTAGCTCTTCCAGGTATATGTACATTTACTCAAAACTGTGCTCTACTTTACATTAAAATTTGTATGCCAATACTTAAAAACATTAACATATTCAACTTATGATAGCCATTTCCACTCCCTTGCCATTTTCATATAATCAATCTGTAAGATTCATGCATTTAGGTTATTGTGCCTTAAATCTTACTCCCAAATAACTAACATTTAGTTTTAATTTATTTTGGTCAGCTTTTCACAACAAAACACATGTCTTAAAGTGATGAAATAGCATTTGATCTTCATAAGCTAAAGACTTTCAGTGGATACATATTTTCATAAATATTGCTGGAAATGATGAATTCCATATCATTTCAGAGTGACAGGTTTACTACTTTGACACCATCATATATTCACTAGGTCCTCAGAAGAATTTAAATAAGATATATACTGTTTCCAGCTTGGCAGTAGCCCAACATACCTTCCTCTCATTACCAAAGTGTCATACTTGGGAAGTCCCTTTCCACTGTCTGGAGATTTGCTGTACCAATCATCTACTGAAACCTCCTTACATAAAACTAATTTTATTGATTACGGTCATATAGTCATTCATAGCCATTATAAATATCTGACTAGGATGTTTTCAATTTTGCAAGAATTATCTTTAGCCTAAAATAATTTTTAAATTAAGCAATCATTAATTATTTAATAAAATTAACTATTAATAAGACTAATAATTAAATTAAATTTTTTTCACAGAGATGTTATTTTCCTCTTTCTGTTGGGGTATTGCTTACACACACTAAAGTCTACAAATCTTAAGTACACAGTGCAATGAATTTTTACATATGTATCTATACACCTGTGTGACTACCACTGAGATCAAAATACACATTTCCAGACCTCAGAAGGTTTCTGTGTTTCCGATTGTAGTTGACACTCCACCAGGGTAACCACCACTCTGGCACAGATTCACTGTGCAATCTCTAGTACAAACGGAACTATGCAGTATGCATTTTTTTGGAATAGTATTTTTTCCACTTAATATATCAGTGAGATTCTTTTAGTTGTTGCATGTGTTAGTACAATGAAAAACTGCATAGCCATAAAAAATGCCACAATTTAATCATTTAAATGTCTCTTGCTGATGAACATTTGGGTTGTTTCCAGTTTTAGACTATTATGAGTAATGCCACAATGAATATTCTTGTTTAAAAGGAACATTTATACTCACTTGTTTACTCATTGAATTTCCAAGTCATAAAGTTCATGTATACTTAGCTTCAGTAAATTTTGCCAATTTTCTACAGTGGTTGTGCTAATTTCCACTCCACGAGCAATGCAAAAGAGTTTTTGTTGTACCGCTTCCCACCAACACTTGGTGCTACCACTTCTTGATTTTCAAGCGCTTAGTGCTATCTCACTATAGTTTTCCTTCGCGTTTCCCTAATAATAATCATGTTGAACAACTTTTCATATGTAGGTTGGCCATTTGGATATTCTCTTTTGTGAAGTGCTTAAGTCTTTTTGCACATTTTCAGAATATGAGTTTCAATCCTTTTGTTATTGACTTGTGAGAGTTCATTGCATACTTTGGAAATAATACTTTGTTAGATCTGTGGATTTGCAGATACCTTCTCCTAATTCATGGCTTGCTTTTTCATTCTTTTAAGGTTGTCTTTTGATTAGGTATTGCAATTTTAATGACATTCAGTTTAACAATCTTTTCTTTTGTGATTAATGCTTTCTGTGTCCTTTTCAAGAAATCTTTGCTACCCTGAGTTCATGAAGCATAATTTTATGTTTTCTTGTAGGTGCTTTACTGTTTTTCCTTTCATATTTAGATCTGTGATAATCTCTAATTAACTTTCTGTGTCTGGTGTGAAGTAAGGTTCAAGGGTCAGTGTCAAATGGATATCCAGGTGGCCCTTTTGTGGTAAAGAAGGAGGCTATGTGTGCATGAATGTGTTTTTGTTTTTCTATAATATATGTGTGCCAATAACATATTATAAAAATTCCTAATATCTGACAGTTTGGGTTCTCTAGCTTGTTCTTCTTCCACATTGGCTTTAGCTATTTTAGGTTTTATTTTGTGTGTGCATGTGCAGTTCCATATAAAAATTGAGAATCAGCTTGTCAGTTTACACACACACACACACACAAACACACAAGCCTGTTGAAATTTTTATTGACATTGCACTGAATCTAGAGAAAAAACTAAGAACTGATATCTTGACAAGTCTGAGTCTTCTCATCTGAGTACTTGGTTTATCCCTTCCTTATCTGGGTCTTTAATTTTTCTCAACAGTGTTCTGTAGTTTTTAGAGCCCAGATCTTGAATGAGGTACTTGGTTTTTATTAAAATGACTATGAAGTCAGATCAACAATTGGTAATATTTACAAAATATCCTATTATTTTACCATTACTTAGAACCTGCAATCACGTTAAGATCTCTGAGACAGGAATTTCCTAAGTAGCTAAGATACAGCTAAAATTATCCAGTGATAAAATTTCACTTACTGTACAAAGTTTGCATTCAAGATGTTTATTGCAATTTATTTGCCTCATATTTTAAATTTGATGAAGTATCAACATGATTTAGGCTCTGGTTTATTTTCTGCTCAAATGTATTAAGATGATGCCCTGTCTTCACCCCCAGGGTCTGTAATATGTTTGTTGGTAAAGGGCTGAGGGACTCCACAGTTGAACTGGGTAATTGATGATTTTCACTTTCCACAGAGCAGGAGATTGATTGGGTTTTAAACATTTTATTTTCTCTCTCTATTAAAAACTTCTAGGTCATTAAACCCACACATCAATTTTAGACATGGAGAACTAAAGTTGTGATTGCAATGATACTAAAATATTTGATCAATTTAGTTGAAAATCTTAAACTAAAGGTCTTAGCTGTCCAGTTGTACAGTTATCTTGGCATAATTTGAAAATTAACTGTTATTTTGTCTGAATGAAATATTACCTTCCAGAATCTACCCTGATTAAATTTAAATATATCCACAGATGTTAAAAAAAATTAGTGTTTGCATATACATTACTGTATTAGTGTGTCGTGATAGTTTTAAACATATAAACTCACTGAGTGGAAACTTACTTTATCTCTTATTTCTTTGAGTATCACTAAGTGCCTTAGTACGTAAGTAAAATCTTCTCAATTATTTTATCTCATTTTAAGAATTGTAGGCCACTTTTGTATGGCAGATATCTTTGCTTTTATAGTTTATTTTAGTAACTTTCTTCTATGTTCTCCTTTGTCTTAAAAGTTTAATGTTAACCAACACCCCAACCTGAATCAAAGTTGTTTTAAAATATAGTAGTGACTCACTTGTTTTACTATTAAAGTATACTTTGTATCGGAAAGTGTAATAATGTTGTTAAAACTAGCTAATTTCTTAGTGTCCAGTATACAGCAATGGAGTGTTAGAATAATAGCAATAATAAAGTTCACACTAACAAATATTCACTATGAAATAACCACATGTAATCCTCACAAAAAATACTACAAGGTGGGTAATATTTTAATCCTTATTTTATAGAAATTTGATAAAATGGTGGAATTGATTTTCACTTTCATCTTGTTTTTTTATTACATTCCACAATTCAAATTTATTTGAAATATTTGATAGAAAATAGAGTGTGAATCATCTATGCTTTTTTTAAAAATAGAAATGCCATGTCCTATACTGAGAACAGAGGGACATCAGTTGACACAAGACAACAGAAATAAACTTGAAGTTTCAGGTAAGCATTATAATCCATTACAAAGTAGCATTTTATTTACCAGATATGTAATACACTGGTAATTACATTTTGTTTACTAGATTTACACATATTTACCAGATATATAATACACAGTAGGTGAGTCTTTGATACTGACACTTAAGGTCATAGTATTAACATAAACATTGAAAGCAGACAATGTGGAAAAAATTCTGAGAACAGTGTTCTACATGTTTAATTTAAGATCAACAACACTTCAACCTTTTGGAGAGAAAAGTAATTCTAAAATGATGAAAGTGTGTTCGTTGTAGACATTTTGAAAGAAGAAAAGAAAATTTATGAGAAAGAAGATCTCACCACACAGATTAGTCATGATAACAATTTTGGTATAACATTCATACTTTTTTTCTCCTTTTCCATCCCCTCCCCCCTCTTTTTCTCTCTCCTCCCACACATGTACATGCCACAAGTGCACGCACAAACATATATACATAATTCTAATGTGCATTACATTTGAAATTCAACCATTTCCCCACATCAGTATACATTCCTACAAGCACAATAAAACATGATTTTTTAAAAGGTTACTTGGATTTCAATGGAATGACTATACCATTTTTTTTTCTGAGTTGGAATCTCACTCTGTCGCCCAGGCTGGAGTGCAGTGGCACACTCATGGCCACCCCAGTGTCAACTTGCTGGACTCCAGTCATCCTTCCTCCTCAGTCTTCCAAGTAGCCGGAACTACAGGCGCACGCTACCATGCCGGCTAATTTTTGATTTATTGTAGAGATGAGGTCTTGCCAAGTTGCCCGGGCTGGTCTCAAATGCGTGGGCTCAGGCAATCCATTCGCCTTGGCCTCCCAAAGTGCTGGAATTATAGGCTGTACGATTTTTAATATAATTTTCTGTTTTTAGATACAAGAGAAACAATGAGTTACTCTAATTATTTACCTAGGATAATTCCTGGGTCAAAGGAAATTAACATTTGAATCTTTTGAAATATATTTATGATTTTTTCTCCAGAAAGATGGCTACACATTCTAAATGCAAAGTTAAGTTCAACCTCTTGCACTCTAAAGGGAGAAAAATAAAGCCAAGACATTTTGTTGATCTCAAACAGCAGGATTGTATTTGAAGTAAATCAATCTATAGATAAGGACAACATAAAAATCCTGTTTAAAAATCCGTATTCTTGGGAGTCTACTAAATTTAATAAAACTATCTAATGAAATCTTTTGTCATATTTTACAGGATTTGATCTAGGAGAAAGATTTTCTCTGAGACGTGCATTTTGTGAAGGTGACAAAACCTGTTTCAGGTTGGGAAGTGCACTTCTTATCAGAGACACTGTGTAAGTAAAATGATGTTTTTCTTTACATTTTAATAATACTACACAAAGTATTTTCTAAATATATTCCAAATAATTAATTTGTTTAGAAAATAAATAAAAGCGTCTTACTAGTGTCATCCTCACCTGAATGCTGTGGTAAATGTGCTGTTTGTGTATTTGTTGTTTATAAACATCTTTGCGTTTTAATCCTTGTTCTATTGTGTAAATGCCTTTGACATGTATGGATAGAGATATACTCTTTAGAGAATGGTAATTAAGCCTATTTCTAAAGAAATAGTGTTTATGCTTAAAGTATATATAAGCAATATTAGATTTTTAAAGTAAACTTTAAGCATAAGTTCAAATAAGTTTTAAACCTAAGTTTAAATAAACATTTTAAAACCTAAGACACGATGTAGATTCAGAGACAAAAGACTGATATTTATTGTATTTATTTTTCACATTTATTATGCATCATGATAAATTAAAATAGAAGAACTTAGCGCTTAGCTGTTTATCATATGTTGTATAGAATGCATTGCTTTAAAAAAGCACTGGTTTGCAGTTGTATATCTGGTCTTTATACTCCTTTAATTTTAAGATGGGTTTACTGAAGTTTTCCTTTATTATGTTACCTTTCTTCTACTGATACACCCAGAATTTTTAAAAAATGAGTCACTTCCCACTTAAATAGTGACCTTTGGTTAGCAGCTACATAGGGCAATAATAATTCCCCATGTGGTTGGCAATAACTGATGAGGAACTTACAGGAATTCAGAAAGCCAGTCACCAGAAGGCACGTTGCTTTTGTAGTTGTGATATTTATTCTTTGAGTCCAAGATGAGTATTTCCATATGTGAATATGCTGCAATGAGGAAAAAAGCATCAAAATTCTCCTTGGTTTAGTTTGCCACATGGATGTTTTTACATGTGTGATAACATGTGTGATGGCTTCACCTCCTAGTGGGGAGCCTGACGTTTAAGTCACAGACAAGATGGTCGAGAACCTTAACACTTCAGCTCTTGGAGGTAAATAGCCTGAACCATCTCATCGCCCCTTTTCAGGTGCTCTGCATAGACCAGGTTCCTAACTCACTTTTTTCTTAAGAAAGTTTCTTGTGAAACACCAATTTTACGATACTTTAGGTAACTTTAGTTTAATGACATCAGTCCTTAATAGTAAACTGCTTGTTGAGGAAGAAAGTAATTGCCAATTAGGAGATACAGTGGGTGGCTGTTAGGCAGGACATCTTAGCAGGTGTGACTGCACAGAGCTGTGCAGAAGTGGACCGCCATTCAGGTGGTCTCTTGAATAGTCATTCGACCCTTACAGTGCAGGTTTAATGTTTGGTGTGCATATGCTATACAGAAGAGTCCAGAAACATAATATTTCTCATTTATGGGGAAGGGAACACCAAAAAATCAGAATGTATTCATTTAAAAATTGTGTATTTATGTTTACATGTTTAAACTTCAGTCACCTTCAAAGTACTCTCCGTTTGATGCAATACACCTAATGAGACACTTTTCCCACTGTTCAAAATGGTTTCTGAACTTGATTTTGATGCGTTTTAGTGCTTCTGTTGTTCTTTGTTTCACCTCTTCCACATCGGCTAACATTTTCCTTTGAAGACTTTTTACATTCGGGAAAACAAAAAAAGTGGTCCAGGTGAAATTGGGAGGGAGGGGCATGGGGTTCATGCCGGTTTTGGTCAAAAACTGCTGAACACTCAGTTCTATATGGAAAGGTTGTTCATGTAAACCACCTATCATGCAATGGGCAAATGCCTTGAAAGACTCCCCTCCCTCAAAAAAAAATACTCACTGAAGTGGAACGCAGCCGATCACAACCATGTTAGCTGGTACACTGATGACAATGGATTTCTAGAATGCTTACCTGGTGGGAGAAGCTTGCACTGCAAGGGGTCCACCCTCCCCAAAATAATTCTGTTATTTTGGGTCCCTCCTCATATATATACATTTAGATGTTCCTAGCTAGTGTTAGATAACTTTGGCTAATGAATTTAAGAGAGGCAATACATTCTGTTCCAAAAATTAAGATGCATTTTCTTTCCCTGCCTTCTTCCTGCCAACTTAAACCCCTGTAATTCTGGCTAGGTGGCAAAAGAATTGGAGTGAAGCCTTCTAAAATTCATTGGGCCTGTATGTAAGAACACAACACAGCTAGTTTTAAATAACTACATTAGAAGACTTGCTGCCACATTTAGGCAATGCTATTTCCCTTTGAGTTCATGGGATTATAAATATTAGGCATGACTTGGAATTAATTTTCTCATTTTTGGCTCTAAATTACTGCCCAATCCATGAGCAATCAATGTAAGTGAATTTTCTGGCTCTGCAGAGCAGAACCTGGTATCTCCACTGCAGGAAATGGGAGAGTGTCTGGTTAAGCTGCCTTGCATGTGTCAAGTGGTTTGGCTGGTCTCCACGTACATCTCACTCGCTGAGCCAAGTATGCTAGGATGCTTTTCTTGCATGATGCCATTTTGATTTTTCAATGGAACTGGAGTAAAGTTGCAGCTATTTATATATTTGTAAATAAGCTGCCTTGCAGAGTCAGCATGGGAAAAGGCAGATACTATTTTATATGGAGAATGGGAATGCTTTCTGTGCTGGGCCTGTTTTTATTATTCTGGCACATTCTGGGTGAGATTTATAAGGGGTGAGACTCACTGAGTGTGCTGGTCAGACACCTGCTAGGCACACACAGCGCCTTGTGCCTAGCCTCACATGGAACACCCCCTCCCCCCCCGCATGCTGCTTTTGCAGGGACTTCCAGATAAACATCATCATATCATCATACACCATACACTTCTAGGTGTCACAGGTTCAGAGGACATCTGAGGGGCTTCTTGTGTTTTGTTAGTTATAAATTCATGTCCATTTATTCAATATTTATTGAGATAGCAAATGGTAAGTATGTGGGGGGTTAGAAGATTCTGGGTGGCATGCTACCTAGTCTCTAGAATGATCTTTTTAGTGGAAATTCTCTTGGCTTCTTGTATCTATAAGTATATGTGGTATGTGAAAGAGATACTTAATTTATGCATATTGAGAGTTATATCCCAGAAGATTATACTTTGATTATTTTAAAATTGTGCTGCAATTTTAAGGACAAATTGGTAAAGTTTTGAGAAAAAATACACACACACACACACACACACACACACACACACACACACACACCCCCTGTGGAGCATCTTACCTTTTTGGCATAGTATAGTCTCTGTCTAGCTTCCATTAGTTGCTTTGACAGAAACTTATTTCAGATAAAAGTGTCTTAAAATGTTGACTATTTTAGAAGAGCCAATAAATGCTGAATTTCTATATACTGTTGATTCTGAAGGGGCAATACACTCTTGGCTTGACTGACCAATGGGAAAATTTATTTTAAACGTATGGGGGATGTGACTTTCTTGATTTGATTATTGAATTTAAGTGTGGTAAAGAGCCTTATCTCTTAGGCTCTTGATAGCTAGTGACTGTCTGAAATACTGTGTTGAGAAGGGTTCTAAGGTCATATTGGGTTCAGCAGATTCAAGTGCTAGGACCTGTTAGGAGAAAGTGGGGAAGGAGGAGGGAGGAATGCTGGTATGTGTTTAATATCCATAGCCTCTTTAGTTTAGGATGACTCCTGTGAGTTGGTGGCTTTTGCAATGGAAGCAGTATCTAAAAATGAGGGAAATTAGGCTATGTGTGAAGAAATAATCAACACAGATTAAGTGTGATAAGATTTTATGTGGATAATGTATCTAGCATAGTGACATAAACAACAGCTATGACCCTTTAGCTTTTGTGACGAATAAATCACTCTCCAGTGAAAATGAGTCGTCTCTCTGTCTCTATCTCCCTCATTAAATTGGTGTTTGCTTTATGAAAGCAAGGGTCATTTAGTTTCATAGCTTTACATTAAAAAAAAAGAGAGAGAGAGATAGCTGATAGGAGCTAGTCTAATTTGTATTGTATGTTTTAAAAAACATAGCAATCCTCACCAAGTGGGAAATGCCAATTATATATTTGAAAAATGTATAAAGTCTTTTAGGATTCCTTCAAGTTCTCTAGACTTTAACAGTTCCCTTGAAATAATTATAAATATAGGCTAGTGTGTTGCATATATGATAGCATATTTTTTACTTTGCCTTAACTATTGGTGAATGACTTATCACAGAAGTGTGTCTTTTCTATGTGGATCTGTAGACTATCTTTGAATTTTTATCATTATAGATAACTCTACTACACACAGAAAAGCTGTTTTTCTCTGTGTTTAGGATTATTTTCATATGGTTAATTTTTAGAAATGAAATTACTGTTTCACTTTTAAGGATCTTGTATATACTATTAATTATGTTTTTTCATTGTCTTACCCATGACTTCTGCATATTTCCCGAAGTCTTCTGTGGCACTGAGACATTATCGTTTAAAAAATTTGTGTTTTGTCTAACTAAAAACTTGTACGATTACAAATAGAAGCTTTGGTTTACGATGGAAGTGCCTTAGAGGTTCCTAAAATGTTTCCATTTTCAGAGGGGTGAATAAGAGGTAGCATTCAATAAGTCACAGAAATGACTGCAGTCTGGTCTAGAGCATTTGTTCACAAGCATTTGCTGAGATGGCTGTGGGCCCAGCGCTTTAGAGGCCCTGGGCTTACACTGGTGAAAGGATGTGGGACTAGTCTTGCTTTCCCGGAACTTGCCGGACAGATCCACAGTGCTAGGCAAAGCTACACTTCCCTCTTACCTCAACCCGAGGAAAAGTTGAGATGTGTCGCCTTGTTTCCTGCAACCTCTGCTGCATGATTCCAATTCCGCCCCTTGTCTTATAAAGGCTAAACTTCCTTAAGCATCACGAAAGAGGCTGGTTTTCAGTGCTTTCATTCCTTCCCTCTTAAGGGCCTGTTTTCTAACCCGTGTTTCATTTTTTATTGCTCTTCTTTGGGTCCTCTCCAAGTTTTCAAAACCAGTTAAATTTGGAGGCTCAAAATATCAGATCTCTGATTCTGA